AGCGATCTAAATTCTCATATAATTCATAAGTCATATAATTAATATGTCATATAATATATGTCATATAATTAATAAGCAAAGAAGTTTGCAACCAAGAGGAAGGGGATGACTCAGACAAAACTTTAAAAGCACACACTGTACAGCCAAAAGCAAATTACCTGGATCTCATTCAAAGAAAGGGTTTCTGTTTTACAAGGGTCACCATAGATAGGTGACAGAAAGGAGGAAGATATTTTCAAAGTCTAAAATCAGCAAGGGACTCAAAGTGTAGAATATGCAAAGCAGTGCAGAAAGCCATGAAGAAAAAAACAAACAGGGCCCAGTAGAAAAATGGGCGATTATGTGCACAGGCGACTTACAGAAGAGAACAGCACGCTGATGAACAGCATCTCGGTCTATCAGTATCAGAGGCATGCAAATCCAAACACCCTGAGTGTCACTCTGTACAAGCTGGACTGCCAAGCTCACACAACTGGCTAATACCGGTTGGCAGGGTGTGCAGCTGTGGAACTCCCAGGCACTGCTGATAGCTGCACCAGGATCAGGGTTGTGTAGCAGACCTGGCTGGACTTAGCTGAATGAAGCATACACACATCCTAGGATGCATCCATTCAAGAGCTGCAGAAATCCTTTCCTTAAAATTCTATTAACTTATTTGCATTTTATTTGAAAGGGAGACAGACACACACAGAGAGTATGGGAGGGTGTTGGAGGGGTAGAGAGAGAGAGATCTTCCATGTGCTTGTTCACTCCCCAAATGCCCACAACAGCCAGGTCTGGGTCAAGCTGAAACCAGGAACTCAATTCCTGGAGCCATCACTGCTGCCTCCCAGGGTCAGCATCAGCAGGAAGCTGGAATTGGAAATGCAGCCAGGGCTTCACCCAGGAACTCCAGTATGGGTGTGTGACTCCCAGGTGGGTGTCTTAAGTGCTGTACCAAGTGCTCACCTCTCCAGAAGTGCCTTTTTAAAAAATCTGTTTTATTTATTTGAAAGGCAGAGTTACAGAGAGGCAGAGGCAGAGGGAGAAAGGTCTTCCATCCGCTGATTTACTCCCCAAATGGCCACAAAGGCTGGAGCTGGGCCGATCTGAAGCCAGGAGCCAGGAGATTCTTCCAGGTCTCCCACATGGGTGCAGGCGCCCAAACATTTGGGCCATCTTGTTGCTTTCCTGGGCCGTAGCAGAGAGCTGGATGGGAAGTGGAGCAGCTGGGACTCGAACCGGTGCCCATATGGGATGCCGGCACTGCAGGCGGCAGCTTTACCCACTACGCCGCAGTGCTGGCACCCGTAAGTGCCTTTACAAAGTCGTCACACTGGCCAGAAGCAGACACGCAGGAGGAGGCTGTGGGTGCCTTCGTTGTGGTGGCAGAAGTTTGGCAGTCACCCAGTTACCTTGCCGGGGGTGGACAGTGAAGAGGGGACACACATCATCAAGGACAACCCTGCAGCTATTAGGAGCAGCAAACTGGTGTATCCACAGCAACAAGATGGACCTCAGAGAAGAATAAACAGAAGGAGCTCTGTAACACAAGGCGCGGATGTAAGTTTAACAATGCATGCGGGGTGGGCGTCTGGCATAGCAGGCAAGACACCACTTGGGAGGTGCGCATGCCGTGTCCGAACGCCAGGTTCAAGGCCTGCTTCTGCGCTGGATTCCAGCATTCTGTTCACACGCATCCTGGGAAGCGGCAGGCGACGGCTCCAGCGTTAGTGTCTCTGCCACCCACATAGGAAACCCGGATTGAGTTCCGGGCTCCTGGCTTCAGCCTGGCCCAGCCAGCCCTGGCTGTTGTGGGTATTTAGGGGAGTGAACCAGTGGATGGAAGATTCTCTCTCTCTCTCTCTCTCTCTCGCTCTCGCTCTCTTTCTTGCTCTTGCTCTTGCTGTCTCTCTCTCTCTCCCCCTCCACTGTGTGTGCCTTTGCTTTTCAAATACATAAAAATAAATAACACTTTAAAAGACTTGTTGGTTATTTAAAAAAACAAATGCACACCCAGCCCCCACAGTGTTTTCCAAGGACTCACACAAATGAGACAACACACAGCCAGTGCGAGTTGTAGCCCCCTGGAGGGGAGGGTAGTAGGAGGCAGGCAGGGATAAAAGGGCACAAACAAAAGGAAAGACATTTGGAAGGGCCCTGCGGTCTGCAGAGGCTGCTCTGACCTGGGCGGCTGCTTGATTTCGGGCTGGGCCGAGAGGCTCCTATTCCGCCTCTGCCAACCACTCTCCAGCCAGACGCTGGGCAGGTTCTGTCTCTCGGAGCTTGGGCTTCCTCATCCGTGAGTGCCCTCATCTGCCGTGAACCTTCAGGGGCTATTTGCAATGGGTTCTCAGCCAACCTCCGTCCCCTGCTCCTTGGCTCAGCAGAGCGGGGAAGGAAAGCACTTCTGGCCATTCTCTGAGACAGACCCAGAAGGCCATATTCTGCACTCGTGCCCAGGAGTTTCCCGGTCATACAGTTAGGTGTTCCCCTAATCAGGAGACTTCTTGTGGAAATGCTCCAATCTCCCAAGCTTAGCTCAGCGGAGGGGTGGGCTGAGAGCCACGTCTGACCGCAGGAATGCCAGTCTGAAGCAAGAAGAAATCCAACTGCCTTCTGTCTCTCATGCTCCAACTCCAAACCACCGGAAAACCCCACAGGGCTACCCTAGAAATGCTGGCAGAGCCTGGCCCCGCCTCCCCCTCTGCTCTGCCATCCAGAGCTCCGCTGCCCTCAGCTGCCATCTGACAAATGACACCAGCCTCCTCTCTAGCATCCCCGAGGGAGGTCTCCGTCTAACCCAGGGCAGCCTCTGCTGAGGACGTCCAAGGGCTCCCATCACCCTCACTCAGAAGAAAAGCCTGAGTCCTTGCCACGCCCCCGTGAGCCTGCACAATCCCACCCTCCAATCACGATCCTTCCAGTGCCTCCATGCCAGCCACTCCGCTTGTCCTGATGTTCCTTAAGCACAACCCATCCTCTCTCCTGCCCAGGGCATTTGCACCTGCTGTTTCCTCTGCCTGGAACTCCCTTCCCTCATTCTCTCCACGGCAGGTGTCTTCCTATCTTTCAAGTCCCTGTTTGCCTCCCCTGAGAGGGCCTCCCTGACCATGCTGTTGTACGGCTGGCATCAGGGTCTCTGCACCCCATCAGGATGCACATTTCCTTTATACCACTTGCCTGATATGAAGCTTTTCAAATTAAGAACGCTTGCTATACCAGCTGCCTGTCATCCTCCACTGGCCAAAAGACTCAGGCAAAGGTCAAGGGCATCAGGTCACAGGTCTAGGTTTTAGTCTAAAGCCAGGCGCAGTCCTGGGGAGGCTTAGGCAGGCGAGACATGTGATCCCCCTGGATGACATGTGACAATGGTTCTGGTGGCCGTGGGGAGAATGAGCTATAGGAAGCAGATCGAGAACAGCGAGGCCGGATAGGGGGCTGCAGAGAGACAAGACTATGGTGCCTTGGATGAAGAGAGCAACAAGGAAGTGAGAAGTGGACAGAGTGAAACTTTGTAACAGGGCTGGAGTTGCGAGTGGTGGGTTAAGCCTCTGTCTGGACGCCAGCCTCCCACATCCCAGTGCTGGTCACCTTGCAACCCATCCAGCTCCCTCTTAATGTGCCTCAGAGACAGCAGGTGATGGCCTGAGCCCCCGAGTCCCTGACATGCATGTGGGAGACCCGGATGGAGTTCCTGGCTCCTGCCTTGGTCCTGGTCCAGTCCTGGCTGTTGTGGCCATTTGAGGAGTGAACCAGCAGACGGAAGATCAATCTCTCTCTTACTCTTTAAAGTAAATAAATCCTTTAACAATGACAATAATGGTATGTGCAACTGGATGGAAATGAAATCGCTTTATTTTAGAATTGGAGGGAAAGAGCCAGAGAGGGAAAGGCCTCGTGGGAGGGCGCCGAGTCTTGTGTGGCTTCTCCCCTCCAGGGCAGGGGGCTCGCTGATGTGTCCCAGCCCCAGGGGAAAGACAGACGATGCGTAACAGAGGGCCCAACTGTGGCCTCCATGGGGACGCCTTGCCCACTTCTCCAGAGGAATCTTCCCATTTTATTTTTTTTTATTACTTTCCCGTTTTATTTGAAAGGCAGAGAGAGAGAGAGAGAGAGAGAGAGAGCGCTTCAATAGCCCTGCAGTAGCCAGGGCCAAGCCAGGAGCCAGGAGATCCATCAAGGTCTGCCCTGTGGGTGGCAGGAACTCGAGTACTTGAGCCAACCCCTGGCGCCCCCGAGGGTGCCCGTTAGCAGGGAGCTGGAATCGGGAGTGGAGCCAGGACTCGGACTCGGGGCCTCTGATGCCGGATGCAGGCGTCCCAGGCAGCTTTTTGATCACTGGGCCAACCACGGGGCCCACTTTCGGGGTGTAATTCACTTATGGGGTGACTCCACGACTTCCACCTCCCCCAGGAGACAGGTGCTCCCAGGGAAGAGCTGCCCTCCTCTGAGCCTGCAGGGCCTGGCACCCAGGAAGCTCCGCATGACCCCCTGTCCCGCCTTCCACGAGTGACTGGACCAATCACTAGGCTGCGTGAACCCGCTGGCTCCTCACTGCCCTTCCCTCACCCTCGCTGCCATCACGCCCACTGTCCAGCTCCCCACTCTGGGACCCAGAATTCCATTCTGGAGCCAGGTTTTAGACTCCAGAATGGAAGCCCACGAAAGCAAGGGCTGTTTAAAACCGCCGTCCGCCCTTCCCCCGGCTCTCCGGCCCCCTCCTCAGCTTCCTCACTTCCCCAGAGTGCGTTCTGGTCACTTCTGCCGCCTGTGGGCAGCTCAGCTCGCAGGGGCAGGACGTGGGTCTTTGCTCGCAGCCCCGTCTCCGACGCCTGCGTGGTGCCTTGCACACGGTAGTTCTTAGGCTGGGCACTGGACGGAGGCAGCGGGACCGCGGCGGGGCTGCGGCTACGGCCCAGGTGCTGAGGGCGGGACCGCGCTTCTCCCGGTGCGCGCCAGCTGCCGGCGCGCCCTGGCCGCTCCCGCAGCCCCGCCGGGCAAGCAGGAGTTAAGCGGCGTGCGCGCTTCCGACCCGCAGGTGGCGCCGTCCCGCCTCGGTGCCCGACTCCGGGCGCTCCGAGGTGCGGGACAGAATCGCAGCGCCGAGCCGGAGCTCAGCCCCGACTTGTTGATCTCGCCCAGGCAGCCGCCGCCGCCGCCGCGAGGGCCAGAGGAGGAGGCGGTGAAGGAAGCGCCGCCCGCTCACGGTCCTGCTCCGCGCGCCCCCCGGGCCCGTCCGCGCCCCTCGCCTCGGAGAGCGCGCCCCGGCCCCGCGGCGCCTGCAGCCCGGGCGCATTGCCTGCCCGGCCGGGGTAGGCCGAACCCAGCCCGGCCCCGGGACCGCCGCTGCCCGCGGGCGGGGGCGCCCGGGAGGCCGGGACGATGCGCGGCCCCTGGCCCCAGGAGGCGGCCGCCCTGGGGGTGAGTGTTGGGGCGGTGGCCCGCCGCGGGGGCCCTGGTGGTGGTGGTGGAGGGGGGGACACGGGCCGGGGGCTTGCCTGCCGCGGCTCGGCCTGTTGGTCTGCCTGGGCTCCGCGGTTCCAGGCTGGGGGGTGGTGGGGCGGGCAAGGGCTGGGGCCTGGAGAGGCGCGCGGTCCGCATTTTGGGGCGAGGGCGCGTTCCCCACACCGCCGAGGGCTCGGGGGAACCCCCCGAAATCACCAGCGCCCGGCGGGAGGAGGGCGCATTTTGAAAAGGCCAGAAAATTGAGCTCATTTCCCCGCCTCCCACCTCCCCCCACCCCTTCCGTTCCGAGCCCCAGGAAAGGCGCAGAAACCGGAGTTATAAAAAGCCATCACCAGAGAGGAGCGAGGAGGAGGAGGAGGAGGAGGAGGAGGAGGAGGAGGAGGAGGAGCAGGGAGGGGGGAGGGGAGGAGGGGGCGGGGAAGGAGCCAGAGGAGGACGGAGCAGGCGGATCCTGCGGTAGAGTAGGGGGCGCAGAGGGAGGGGAGGGACCCAGGCCAGAGCCTGTGCGTCTTCACCGCTCACCTCGTTTCCGGAGCAACCTCGGGGGAGGGGCTCTGGCGGTGTGGGGAGAGGGGTCGCCCCAGGACAGAGGGGCTGAGTGAAGACCCCGTCCGTGGTGACCTCTGACAGGTGCACCCCCCAGGATTCCCCCAAATCCTTTATGATTTAGGAAAAGCAAGCTCTCTGCCATCTCCCTACACTCCCCCCCCTAAATTGTGATGATCTCGAATGGGGGTGTGTGCGCGGGGGGGGGGGGGGGGAAAAAAAAATCGGTTTAAAAAAGAAAGTTTCTCTCTGGGGGGCCCGGGCCCCCCCGTGGGGGGGCCAGGTTCGGGACACGCCCGCTGGGGAGACCCACAGAGAAGCGAGTTTCAGCACTCGAAGGGGCGGACAGCGCCCCGGGCGGCCGGGTCGCGCCGGGGCTGCGGAAACCGGGGTGGGGCGTCCCCGGCTCCAGGGGCACCTCTTGGGGCTCTCTCCCCGCCCCCAAAGGCGGCCCCTCCCCGCGCGCACGGAGTGGGGCGGGCTTCAGCACCGGCGGGAAGGACAGCGCCCAGACGCCCTATCCACCCCCTGAGCCGCTTAAGCGCCGCGAAGGTCAAGGCCGGCGGGGACCCCGGTGGAGAGGCGGGGAGGGGCCGTGCCCCGCTCGCCGTGTGCTGACCCGCGTCCGCTTTCGCTTTGTGCCTCGCAGCCGTCGGGATGGAGGTGAGAAGACGGCCGTGACGCGCGCCCGCGCCCCGCCTGCACGCCAGCGGCCCGCAGCGCTCCCTGCCCCCCTCGCCCGCCGCAGCAGCGGGCCTTGCCGTCGAGTGACAGCGGCCTGGGGGGGCGGGGGGGGCGGGGGCGGCCGGACCAGCGATGCCGGCGGGCATGACGAAGCATGGCTCGCGCTCCGCCAGCTCGCTGCCGCCGGAGCCCATGGAGATCGTGCGCAGCAAGGCGTGCTCTCGGCGCGTCCGCCTCAACGTCGGGGGCCTGGCGCACGAGGTGCTGTGGCGCACCCTGGACCGCCTGCCCCGCACGCGGCTGGGCAAGCTCCGCGACTGCAACACACACGACTCGCTGCTCGAGGTGTGTGACGACTACAGCCTGGACGACAATGAGTACTTCTTCGACCGGCACCCGGGCGCCTTCACCTCCATCCTCAACTTCTACCGCACGGGGCGGCTGCACATGATGGAGGAGATGTGCGCGCTCAGCTTCAGCCAGGAGCTTGACTACTGGGGCATCGACGAGATCTACCTGGAGTCCTGCTGCCAGGCGCGGTACCACCAGAAGAAGGAGCAGATGAATGAGGAACTTAAGCGCGAGGCCGAGACGCTCCGTGAGCGCGAGGGCGAGGAGTTTGACAACACGTGCTGCGCGGAGAAGCGCAAGAAGCTGTGGGACCTGCTGGAGAAGCCCAACTCCTCCGTGGCCGCCAAGGTGAGTCTGGGGGCTGCGGGCTGCTGGCGGGACCAGGAGTGGGGGAGGGGCTCTGGCCGAGTCCCCAGAGGTGAGTCCCGGAGGGCATCGCACCCCTCCTCCTATCGCACCGCGCGTCACACCCCTGCTTCGTTGGAGAACGTGGCTCGAGGATGGGTGAAGAGCTGCCACAGTGGAAACCAAGGGGCACACGGAGAGAGGACGGAGGCTCTCTGGGATGGAGGAGCGCCCGGGTCCCTGTGATGTCCACCCCCAGGCTGGGGTGGGTCGCCCTGAGTTTTTACTAGGCATCTCTCCAGTGAAGACCCCACGTTGCCCCGCGGAGGGAAGGCAGGCAGCTTGGGATTGTGCTTGTTGGGTGTTGAAATGCTGGCAGGTAGTTTTAAGGTAAGGGGGAACCCAGGCAAAGGGACTCTGTTGGGTGGGTGTGGCCAGGCCGGTCGCACGCCGTCCCCAGTGGATGCCCACGGATGGGGGTCACCCCCGTCTGGATTTATTCACCTGTTGGTTAGCTTATTCTGACAGTGGCTTGGTGAGGCTTGTACAGAGGCTCTGACTGTTGGGAGAGGATGTGGATTTCCTAGTAGGAGAGAAAAATGAGGCAGTGAGGAGAGGGAGGGGAGGGAGGAGAGTGACCATTCAGAGTGGGCTGCCAGGGGAGGGCAGCGGCTGGGGCTTCCCGGAGGCCGCTGGGGGAGGAGCCACAGCTCTGAGTCAGGCGGGGGCTGAGGGGTGCTGGGAGAGACGGGGCCCCTGTCTTCGCATGGCCATTGTGCTGGACACTGCGAGCCAGTGACAGCACAGTGCATTCTGGGCTATCCCAGAGGCCAGGTGAGGCCCAAGGAGGGCCCGGGAAAGAAGAGCATTGATGTGGAAATCCAGAAAGACTAAGTTGGGGGCGGAACTCGCTCTCTGAGAGTGCGGCCCGAAATGGGGGAAGGGGCGAAGTGGGGGACGCGTGCGCGTGCAGTCTCAGCGGGTGAGCCAGGCTGGCTCGGGTCCAGCCTGGCCTTGTGGTGGGGGCTCGGGGCTCAGTGGGCTTCTCCTGCGGCAGGTTACACCCCAAGGGGACACAGCGGGGCCTCCCAGCCAGGAGAGGCCCCTGGGAGGGGCTGTGGGAGGGGCTGGCCTGGCGGGGTGGGGGGAGCACTTATGTTTCTTTTCTCCACTGACCCTAAAGAGGATGCGGAACTTCCTGTGCGTGGCTTCCTCCCCTGAGGCCACGGGCTGCAGTTGGGACATAATCCTGCCCAGGTTGCGCTCCTTCTTAAGAGCGAGCCACTCACCCTTAACCGGCTTAAGATCAGCAGATTTAGTTTGCTATTTCCAGCCCTGACACGGGTTCCCCCACTCCACATCCCACTTAGGCCCAAACGTGACTCTGCCTCCTCCCCGTTCTGTCCCACAGCCGTGAGACTGGGCCGTGGGAGCAGGAGGGGCTCGCCCTCCCTGGGAAGAAGCAGGCGAGGGGCTGTGTTTGGGTCGGCATCCGGCTGCAGAGCCAGGCGCTGGGGCTCTCCGGAGGCGCCGTTCTGGAATAAGCAGCCGCCCTGCTCCCTTGGGTTAATCCGCTCTCAGGGACGAGCTCCGTGACCTCTCTGCGATCCCGGGCTGGGGCTGTCAGCTCGCATTCCCGGCAGATGGACCGTCCAGGGTTTTTTGCAGCCAGAGCTGAAAAGGGGAGGCAGGCAGGCTCTTTGTCTCTGGGCGCTGAAATCCTGGCTGGCGCTGATCACCTATGGTGCACAGGATGTGATAACACACATCTCCATAAACGGTGAGGCTCAGAGAGGCTAAACACCTTGCCTAAGGTCACACAGCAGGCAACAAAGGCAGCTCAGTGCCCTGCTCTCCCTCCCGCGATGATGAACTGCCACAGGCTGCTCCTCCTCCCCCCTGCTTTCCACTCTTGCCCCCTGCAATCCATTGCCCACTCGGCAGCGGCAGCCGAAGTGAGCTTTTCACAGTGTGAACTGGACCACATTATTCACCTGCCTAGCATCCCCCGAGGTTCCCGTCATATCCAGAAGGAAGCAGAGTCTTCGGCATGGCCCTCGAGGGTCTGTGGAATCTGGCCTCCAGGGCCCGTCTGAGCTCACCTCTTCCACTCTCCCCTGGTTCACTCAGTTTGGCCCCCATTGGCCTCTGCCGTTCCCTAAACTGGCCAAAGTTGTTCTACCCCCGGGCCTTTGCACTGGCTGTCCCTGCTGCCTGGGTTCTTCTTTTCCCAGATGGTCCCCACAGCTGCCCCTTCTCCTCATTCCTCGCTGGACAGGTCCCTGCTCCAGTTTCCCCTGTTGCACAGAGTCTTTCCTGCACAGGCCTTCAGCACCTTTGGGAATGCTGTTGGCTTCCTGTGTCTCTCTGGTTCACACCCACAAGAATGCAAGCACCAGGAATTACAGTCGCTGCTCTGTTCCCAGCACCCATGGCACAGAGGCACTGCACCTAACTCCGTGTGGTGACGGTGAATGGACCCAGCCGTGAGTCAGTCACGTGGGGACCTGTCACTCCCTCCTCACTGTCCACCTGCGACCCAGACCCCTGTGCCGCCGGCCCCTACTTTGCCCGCCGTCCCCCCAGCCTGGGTGCCTCGCTCGCATATCAGAACAGCAGGGCCTGCGGATTGTCCAGACTGCAGATTGGGAGGGGTCAGTGGAGGATCATTTCTGGGTGGTGTGGGGGCAAAACCGCCCATCACTCGTTTGTTTAAGAGCAAGGGGGGGGGGGGACCCGGGCTCCAGGCTCAGCCCTTCTGCCTCCCCAGTTCACCTCTGCAGCCCCAGCCTCCCACCTGCAAAATGGCGTTGCGAAGCCCCCTTGCAAGGTCATCCCGAGGTCTTGTCGGTTAAAATGTAGCTCAGTGCCTAGCGCATCGCAGGCGGGGCTCACTGGGATGGACGCCAAGGAGTGGAGTCCTTTTCCCCAAGCTGGGTGGGCTGAGTGGCCACAGGCCCTTTCTTTCTGATAGCGGCAAGCCGATCCCATGAATAATTGATGGGCCGTTCTGGCGACTGCGAGACAGACCAGAGCACCGGCCCTGGGCTTCACCGTCAGGGGAGCGAAAATCAAAACCCATTAGGCAAAAGGCAGCGTGATTGATTCTTGTTTGGAGGACGGGGTCAGCCCCGATGGGGTGGCAGGACGGCCGGCCGGGGCCACCACTGGGTTTCCGCTTTCTCGGAAAACGCAACAGCCTTTCTGAGCGGGAGAAGTCACTTCCAAGGCCCGGCGTGGCTGCCTTCCCTGGAAAGGCCACAGGGTTAAAGCCCCAGACAACCGCTCTTCCGTGAGCCTGGCCCCGACCTGTGGTGGTTGGGATCCGCTCGCTCACCGAGATCCCTCCAGCAGCCCCTCGCCAGCGTGCCACTTACGGTGCTTTGGGCAGCAAGTAACAGACGAGAAAACTCAAAGGAGCTTCAGAAAGGAGGGAGACGCATCCCCTCCCACAACATGGGGCTTCAAGTGGCTGGATCGGGTTGAATGAGTTCAATGATGCCATCAGGATTCTAGACTCTTTCCATCCCTCAGCTCCTCCAACTGCGGCAGTTGGCTTGGTTCTCAAGCTGGCTGCCTCCTGGTACAAGATGGCTGCCTGGTTCCAGCCTCCAGTGTAGACACAATGAGGTCCAGTGCATGAAGCAGGACATGCCCTCCAATGAGCCATGTTCTTTTTCCAAGAGGAGAGCTTTTCCTAGGAGCCCCTAGCCGACTTCTTTTTAAATCCAAAATCATCAGGCCACACCCTCACGCTCTAGCCACAGGGGAACCCGGGACGGCAAGTGTTTGGCATTTGGGGAGTGGATTTGATGAGCTCTGTGATGTTTTTGCACAAGACGAGTGGAGACGCGGGTGCCGTCACTGACCCACGCTCACACGGCCCCCGCTCAGGAAGTGACTGTTGAAGGAACGGAAATGGCAGAGGCAGGGTTTGAACCCAGGCTTGTGTGGCTCCCAAGCTTGTGCCTCTGGGTCCTGGAATTCCGGGTGGGTGAGCAGGCTCTCCGGGCCTCAGCGGGCTCATCTGCCCGGCCGGTGAGAACCGCCGCGCAGCCCCGGGGGCTGTTTGGACGACTCGGTGAGATTTCAGATGTGAACGTGACTTACACCGGGAAGGCACTTTCCTGTGGATGAATTGTTCTTGCCGTAGCTCTTTATTCCTGCGTCCAAAGCGGGGCGGCCCACTGTTAGGGGCAGTGGTCAGGCTTCTGCCCACACAGATCTGTTTAAGAGTCACCTCTGAAGCTCAGCCGCCAGGGGTTCTTTCCTGGCTCATCAGTGCCTGCCAGGAACGTGACCTCGGACAAGCTCCTCTCTGAGTCTCGGCTTCCTTATCCGGGAAATGGACTGATCGTGCCGGCAGCCATGGAGGGCTGTGGCGGAAGAGTCCTTGGCAGGAGCACGTGACCCCGTAAATGGTGGTGTGGCTGGGGCTGCATCGCTGAGCCCCTCGCAAGGCTACAGCACCGGCCACCCGCATGGACGGCAGTACGGGCTCACTGCCCCATGGTGCTTTGGGATTTCATGTCTCTGGGGGGATGAGGCTTCTGCTTCCTGAGCTGGGGGAATACGGGGACCAACTTGGAATCCCTGGCCCCGTCAGTGCTCTGGGCTGGCCATACATCTGTCAACCCAGGTGCCTGTTTTAGCCCAAGGAGATACTAGGAGGACCTTCCAGAAGTTCATAGAAAAGGTGTCTTGTGAAAGACGTAGGCATGGATGTCTGAATTTTTTTTTTTTTTTTGCAAAATTAACTTCCTCTGAACTTTGTGGAGCCCCCTTCCCATGGCAATGATTCGGAGTCCTGGCTGTGGGGTCACAGGAATGTGAGTTTGAATCCCACTATCTCTTTTCCTGGCTGAGAACTTTGGACAGGCAGCTGTGTCAGCCATGGCCTCCTAGTCTGAAAGTGAGGGTGGGGATAAAACCCACCCCACAGGGTGGTCGGAAGGGGTCAATAGGGGAACACACGTGTCGGGCTGAATCCCAGGGCCCCATTG